AGGGTTTATCCCACCATGTTGCAGGTGAAGTTCTCGGCCTGTGAAGATGGTGGCTAACCGCCGGTGGCTCGATGATTCTATAGTTACTTCTCATCTATATGCTTTTGTCAGGTGATGTCACTTATGCTAGCAATGTATTTGGAACATATATTAATATAATCTTTTGAAAGCTATGTTGTTTTCACTAATCGGTTTTGAAACCCAAACTTGTGCTATTATTTGTGAATTCATTTGTAATATTATTTTCCGCTGCAACCCTGCGTATGTGATGTGTATTTGCTTAATCACGCGATCTTGGTTGTGATGTTGATTTACCGAGGTCTTTCGGGACACTCGACGGACTACCGGGTTTATATGAGTGAAAGTATGCGCATGTCAACGTGTTAGCGGGGACATCCGTACTTGATCTTGTATAAATTGGGCGGTTCTGTTACAGGCCATGCCTGCCTTCCTTCGATGGTCAGAGTCCACCATAACCTTTGATAGGACCGACCACCCGGAGAGCATCCCGCAATCGGGGAGATATCCGCTCATGATTGACCCGATCATTAGCATGAAGTGGCTCACAAAGGTACTGATGGATGGAGGCAACGGCCTCAACATCATGTACGCCAAAATGCTCGACGCCATGGGCATCGGCCGATTGCGCATTCGACTGACCGGAGTGCCTTTCCACAGCATCATGCCTGGAAAGCAGGCCATGCCACTTGGGCATATCGATCTGCCCATCACCTTCAGGGATCCATCCAATTATAGGATGGAGACCCTCACCTTCGAGGTGGTCAGGTTCCATAGAACCTACCATGCCATCCTGGGACGTCCATGCTACGTGAAGTTCATGGCCGTCTCCAACTACACCTACCTAAAGCTGAAGATGCCGGGACCATGCGGGGTCATCACCATTGGCACCTCCTTCTAGCAGGCCTACAAGTGTGAGGTCAAGTGCTACAAACATGCCACGGCAATCGTCGCCTCTAAGGAGCTTGCGGCCATCAAGAAGGAGGTCGCTGAAGAAGTGCCCAACCTCAAGCAGTCGGCCGGGTCTTTCGAGCCTTTGGAGGGTGCCAAGGAGGTCTTCAAAGACCCCAGTGGCTCCAAAGGCAAAGCGGTGCGCATTGGCACCATGCTTTCCTTCGAATAGAAAAGCACGCTCGTCGACTTCCTCCATATCAATAGAGATATCTTTACGTGGAAACCCTTGGACATGCCGAGCATTCCGAGAGAAGTCATCGAGCATGCCTTGAAGATCAGGCCTGGCTCCAAGCCGGTGAAGCAATGCCTGTGTCGCTTCGACGAGGGGAAACACAGGGCCATCAGTGAGGAGATCATGAAGCTGTTGGCGGTAGGGTTCATCAGGGAAGTATATCACCTAGAGTGGTTAGCCAATCCCGTCCTTGTATGAAAGAAGAGTAGGGAATGGAGAATGTGTGTTGACTACACGGGTCTCAACAAAGCATGCCCAAAGGATCCATTTCCTTTGCCATGCATAGACCAAGTAGTCGACTCTACCTCAGGGTGTGAAACCCTTTGCTTCCTTGATGTGTACTCCGGGTACAATTAAATCGAGATGAAAGAGTTTGATTAGCTCGTGACATCTTTCATCACCCTGTTCAGATAGTTCTGCTATGTCACAATGCCATTAGGTCTAAAGAACGTAGGGGATACGTACCGACGTTGTATGCTCAAGTGTTTTGGAGACCTCATCAGGCAAACCGTTGAGGCCTATGTAGACGACTTCGTGGTCAAGTCCAAATAGGCTGACCAGGTCATAGCCGACCTTGAGCAGACCTTCACAAAACTCTGAGCAAATGACATTAAGCTCAACCCTGAGAAATGTGTTTTCAAGGTCCCGAGGGGTATGCTACTGGGCTTCATTGTCTTCGAGCATGGCATCAAAGCCAACCTAGAGAAGATCTCGGCCATCACAAGGATGGGCCTGATTCAGAACATAAAGGGGGTACAACGAGTTATAGGGTGCCTCGCCACGCTCAGTCGCTTCATCTCCCACCTTAGCGAATGGGGTCTCCCCTTCTATCGGCTTCTGAAGAAGGCTGACCATTTCAAATGGACACCCGAGGCCTAGGAGGCGCTTGACACGGTCAAGCGGCTTCTGACGAAGGCCCCGATCCTGGTCCCTTCGACCGATGGGGAACATGTTCTGCTCTACATCGTGGCCACCACGCAAGTGGTTAGCGCCACCTTGGTGGTAGAGTGAGAAGAGGAGGGACACGCCCTCAAAGTGCAGCGTCCCATGTACTTCATTAGCGAGGTCCTATCCAATTCCAAGACCCGCTACACCCAAATCCAAAAGCTTCTATATGCCGTCCTCATCGCCAAGAGGAAGCTACGTCACTACTTCGAGTCACATCTAGTGACGGTTGTGATGTCCTTCCCCCTCGGTGTAATAGAACCGACCAATTTTAAGAGCACAAGTAAAATGGCAGCCCGCAAGTGGTTGCACTATCATACTTGAGCCCATATAAACCTGGTAGTCCGTCGAGTACTACGATGGGTCTCGATTAACCATCAATTTACAACCAAGATCATACATGATTCAACATACATGTCACATCATACATAAGGTTCACAAATACAGTTCATTCATTAGAGTACGAATTGAGGTTATTACAAACCAAGTTTAGTAAATAGTAGAGGAAGCAAATTAAAGTTTGACACTATCATCTGCCATTATAGTTCAAATATAGTGCCAACTCATGATCACACTCCCACAAAAGCATATAAGAAGGATTAATAAGAGATGCCTGCCCAGGGCTCACTCCTTGTCCACGACGGGACAGAAGCAGTTCTTGCAATAGCCGTGATAAACTATACCATCTACAACAATGGAAATAAAACCCTGGGTACGAGAAGGTACTCAGCTAGACTTACCCATCATAAACCAAAATAAAAAGACTCCAAGGATTATGCACGGCTTTATAAGTGCAGGTAGCTCGACAACATTTTGCATAAAAGTGACTAATTCAGTTGTACAATTATAATTTGATCATCAAATTAATTATAGCTATTCATCTCTAGATTAGCAACTAACCTATGCCAAACATGTGATATATTATTTAGTAGCATACAATAATAACCATAGCAAGTGTGGTAATTCCATGTTCATCCAAACCATCACATTCCATAACATAGTTACTACTTTGTTAGGACTAGCCAAGTTTCTCACTGTCCGGGAGAGATGGCGATTCGAATCGGTTTCAACCAGCTAGGAATTTATTCCTAACACAAACCTAGGTAGACCAGATCAACGGTCACCTGAGGTCACCTTTGGTACAACTTAGGTACACATTTCATGGGTTCGACCAGCGCCGCACAATCAGGGACGACCAACTGCTAGGATGATCAGGACTACCCTGCCCTTGGGCTCATGTCTGGCTCCCCACACATCCTTACTACCCTCCAGAGTGCGCACTTTTACAGAACAGGGCCCGACTTGAGTTGAGCTACTCGGCTTCACTGTCAGAACGAGTTATCCGGCCAGTTAAGTGAGAGGCATGCGTTCAATCTTGTTAGAAGCGCCAATAACGGTACGGTCCTTAACCGGCACAGATGGAATCACATGAATCAACTTACACATAGACTCCGCCCGACCTCCATTTATATTACCCATGGTTCTTTTCCACGATAGCAAATATAGCCAACTGTGCTTTGGTATCCACCTATATCTCACAGGTGATAGGAAATCACCTGACTTTTACCGGTCTAAGCATAGTTAAGCATATATTCGATCCTGGACCAACATAGGGTTAAAGATATATATAACTGGACAAGGTAGTTCTATGCATCAAGTGTTTTCAATCAACTCTTATAACATAATGCATCAAACATAAGACTCAAGTGATATTTTATAAAACATGGGAGACTTAGAATGCTCCGGGGCTTGCCTTTGAGGAAAGAGGTTGGCTGGTGATCCGGGCACTCAAGGAGATCTTCAAGAGTCTGCTCCTCTTCTCCTAGAGCTATGGCTTGAGGCATCTCCTGCTAATCCTCCTCCTCTTCTTCGTTGAACTCTAGGAGAGTTATCTCTTCGGATGATCCTATATGCATGAGCATGAAATAAGATATCATGAATGCATATATGATGACCAATGTTTTTAGATCGTATTATCGAGGCTAGTCATATGACCACCGATCAGACGACTAATCCCGATTAGTCGTCGATAAGGGTCGATTAGTCGGTCCTAATCGGTCTAATCGGCTAGTCGGACATTTAGTCGTCCTTGTGCCTAGATGGCCTGATCGACCATGTATATACTATATATATGATGTAAATATATGTAAACATGGCCATAATAAATAGGTAAATGTTAGAGGCAAGCAACCAAGCATAGTTTGGCATGTAATCATGTTTGCAATGAATCATTATCATGGTGATTTGGCCACTTACCTGTAACTGCTGCTTGCTGATGCCAGATGGTGTCATGGTGAGTGTTGACTGCTGACCAAAGAAAAACTAGCTGCTGCTTGCTGCTGCTTGCTTGCTGATGTCTGAACTCTGAAACTGCTGACCAAAGAAAAACTAACTGCTTGCTGCTGCTTGCTGATGTCTGAACTCTGAAACTCTAAATCTAAAATTACAAAGAAAGAAGATAATTAGTTAAATAGGCAAAATAGCAGAAAAACAAAACTATAAAGACTAAAGAAAATGTAAAGAGTAGTAGATAGTAGAGCATGGGAAAACAACTTAACCAAGTACACAAATTTAACAAATAGGAACTAACAGTAGTTTAGCACAGTGCACACTGTGCATAGCAGTACACAACATAAGTAAACTAGCAATTTAGCCGTAAGTAAACTAGCAGTACACAACAGTACACAACATCCAGTCCACTGATCCATAGAACCAGCAATTCAGCCATCTAGAGAAGTAAATATGCGTCCACATGGAAGTCTTCATTTCTATCATTTGTTGCAGGTCCGCCTGAGTCTTCCTCCCCTCCTTGGTCCTCCATTTCTTCATCTGTTGCACTTGCACCTTGTGGCTATTCTGGTGCAACTCTATTTTCCTCTTCTTCATGATCACTGCTTTCAGTTGCTGGTGCATCTGACCTTGGACTTGGACACTTCCTTTTGTTATTCCTCGCATATGTGCGGGTGACAGTATTCCTCGCATGAGCAGCAGCAGCCCTAGGCAAATTGTGGCCTCTAAGCTGGTTGGTTGCACCAACAGCTTCATCAACATGTGTCCAAAGCATATCACTGCCATTAGATCCATGAACTGGGTCATAGTTGATGTCTACCCACTCATTTTCCCATTGAAACTCTTCTAGCAGCAATGTGTTGGATTTCTTGCCTTTAGAACCGAGCTCACGAATTTTCTGAAACCTGAATGCCATCTTACGGTTGTAGCTAACAAATACCAACTTATTCAACCTAATGTGCTCCAAACGGTTCCTCCTTTTAGTATGCACCTGCAGCCATAGAAAATAGGAGCAAATTCATTAGATGGCTGCAGCATATAAGAATGCATTAGCATGCACCTGCAGCCATAGAAATTGCACTTACATGAGCAAAAGTGCTCTGGTTGCGCTCACAACCAGACGCCGAACAATAGAGGCTTACAATTCATTTTGCTAAACTCTGTAGCTCGAATGCAAGGCCACTAAAAGCATCCCACCATAGAACAGTAGTTGTAGATTACAAGAAAACAATAATATAATCAGTAGCTCATCACATAGAGAATTATAGCTTAATTAAAAGAAAGTGCTGACTGCTAAACTGCTCATTACTTACTAGGATTTTTGCTATTTCTCTCTACTATTGCTAATCTCTTTGAGAAACATTCACCCTCAGCCCTGTCATAACCATCAGCTTGCTTGCTTATTTTCCTCGCTTCACTCTCATCAGGCACCATCTTCCATATAATGTCATTAAACATGCACCTTAGCTTTGTAGCTTGTCTCCTATCCTTTTCCTTTATGGCAAAGTACTTTCTAGGATTCAAGAAGAGGGCTGCTCCATATAGTTTTTGCTCCATCTGGTTCTCCCATCTCTTGTCATAGCATTCCATTACATCATTCAGTAATAATGATTTGTCTCGCAAAGTTTCCTTGATGGTCTTCTTTGCAACATCCATTGCTGCCATTATCTCAGGAGCTGCTGGTGTTTCATCACCATCTGCTATCCTCATAGCAATGAGAAGGGGTTGTGTTGCTTTTATACAGTACTCCACTTTTGTTCATAATGGTATGGAAAGGATTGTGTTCTCAGCCTGCAGCCCTTCAACACTTTTTGACAAGCTATTGGAATGCCATTCCTCACTCACAAACAAACTCCTCCGCCCCTATTTGTTCTTATGCATGCTTGCTAATGTGAGATAGGAAGTAGCAAAGCGAGTAACAGCAGGCCTCACAAGATCACCACCAATCTTCTCTCGCATAAGATCCAGAATTCTCCCATGCTTGTAGAGAAACCTACACACCTTCTTAGTCGAATTAATGCAATAGCTAAACTCAGGTATCTTCCCAATGTCCTCCATCATCAAATCCAAACAATGGGCAGCACATGGTGTCCAAAACAAAGTTGGGATCCTCTCCATAAGAATTCTTCCAGCAGCCTTGTAGTTTGATCCATTATCTGTGACAATTTGCACCACAAACTCCTTCCCAACCTTGTCAATTTGTTTCTCTAACAAGTCTGCTAACATAGAAGCATTGGCTATCTCACTTGAAGCATCAACTGAACCTAAGAAGAATGTTCTAGCTAGGCTATTCGCAAGAAAGTTGATGAGATGATGGTGGCTAGTGTCAGTCCATCCATCTGACATGATTGTGCAGCCATATTCCTTCCAAGCGTCCTCATGCTTCTTTCTCAGCTCATCTATCTTGTTCACTGCCCTATCAAGTAGTGGATTCCTAATCTCATGGTATGAAGGTGAGCGATACCTAGGACCATATTGCCCAATGGACTCAAGCATAATCTCCCAGCTTCTTGAGTTAATAGCATTCAATGGTATTCCATTCTCATAAAAAAATCAGCCACATGGTCATCTACAATTTGCTTTGCTTCCTTGCTCTTTGTGGAGTACTCAAGAGTGGGCTATGACATCTTGGATTTGTGCCTTTCTGCAACCACTTCTTCTGGACTCTTGCAAAGCAAAGAACTCACTGACTTGGAATGCTTCTGTGTTTGAGGTTTTGGTGGAGCAAAAACCATAAAGTTTGTGATTGATGCTTGAGCTATCTTTTTTGCTTGCTTTGATTTTGTCCCAGAACTTGAAACTTGCTTTGACCTTGTCCCAGCATTTGGTTCATTTTCAGCAGCAGCAGAAGCACCACCTCCACCTTGATATGTTTTTTCTTCTATTTCTGTCTCCACCCCAGTGTCCATAGGTACCTAAACCTGAGTCCTTGACCTTGTGACCAAGTAACCATTCATCTCACGCCTAACTAGTTCAGGTGCTTCACCACATTTCACTACATCAGAATAGCCCCCAGCAAGGTGTTGCTTGAACCTTTTAATGCCTGAAGGGACAACCTTTTTGCAGAAAATACATTGGATGAACTCTTTCTTCCCTATGTCTGGCCAAAACCCATATTTCCATCTAGGATCTGATGATTTTGCCTTCATCTTCTTATCTTCAGCCATGGTAGCAAGATCTGGCGGCAATTTAGCTAACGCTTGAGCTATTAGAGATGCTTCAATTGGAGCAACTGACGACGCTGAGGCAGCCCCTCCTAAGACAGCTTCATTCTCAGGTAGAATTACCTCAACAACTGCATGCCATCGAGCATCCTCTGCAGAGTGGCACAACCACACAAATGTGTCACAAATTGGTGGCAACAGGCAATACATAGTAGTAGAGTAGAGACAATCGAGCATCCTCTGCAGAGTGGCACAACCACACAAATGTGTCACAAATTGGTGGCAACAGGCAATACACAGTAGCAGAGTAGAGACAATAACCTTCAGAGGAGGTAGAGTGGTGGGGAGATTGAGGCTATCGGAGGCAGAGAGCAGAGAGAGGCAGAGAGCAATAGAGAGCAACTCCCACTAGGTCACTCACTCACTCCTCTTCTTCTTACCCTAATGGGCCAGCTAAAGGTGGGCCAAATTCTTTAGCTGGGCCAAATTCTCCCTCCCCGAACTAGTCGTCCGGGAAGTCTGATCGGACGACTAATCGTGATTAGTCGCAACTTATCGGACAATAAGTTTTCTAATCGGTCTAAACTAATCGAGGGCCCTTATCGAGCACCTGGTTACGATAAGGACGACTAATCGCAATTAATCACGATTAGTCGTCGATCTGAAAACATTGATGATGACATGTATAATATGATATGATGCGATGAATGCATCCTCCCACGTGTTTTCAATAGCTTTGTATTAAAGTAATAACAAGTTGCATCGTATTTTACTGAGTAGTTGCATATCTCTTTTCTAATTACTAAACAAACACTTATGTAAATCATTTTCTGGACTACAAGACAGCAGCCATTTGTTTTGACCATAACTAGAGTTATACATATCAAAATAATATGGTTGTCAACATTCTAGAAAGCTTATGAAATTGCCTACAACTTTCTTTTAATTATCTTAATGTGATTTAGTAGTTATCTAGGTCAAATAATTCAATCATTGAAATCTATCGAGAGAGCAAGCATTTCAGACAGTAGAATGCTAACAGCCATAATTCTTAAACTATAAGGTCTATGACTATGAAAATTTAACACAAGGTAGATAAGTAAGTTATCTACAACTTTGTTATTAACAAGTTTTACAGAAAAAAGACCATTATCATCACAAAATTGTCATCACAACCAAAACTATACATGCAGCCATCTAGTTGAATTATAAAGCAATAATTAACTAGTTGCATATAACCAATTACTTTTAATCCTCACTAATAACATAAAACATATCATATGCATCACAAGAACCATAGAAAACATCATGGTTAAACATAACTAAATTATTTATATCCATTCATTAATTTCCTTAGATAATAAGGTGATTTAAAGGATAAATATTTTAAAATCTCAATAAATTCTAAGAAAATTATAGTATCTCACATACGACCTTAATAGTCTACTAGATAAATTTGATGCCATTTGGATAAGTATAACTAGCTCACAAAAGTGACAAGTTATATAGGCTTATTTTAGCAAAAATAGTTTAGCATAGTGAAAAGTGTCAAACAACAGTTTTCATATTTTTCTTACATTCCTCCAAGCATAAGAATACTGTGTAAAAATTTGCATGATCATATGTTATGTGTTTTTACCCCAATTAATTGCACTAGAAACTAGCAATTAATTAGGATTAAATATGAAGACCATATTCAAAGTATGCTTACTACAGGTTTGGTATTTTTCCTAGCTAGAGCATGTCAACACAAGAGTAGCAAAATTAGAATCACAATTTTATCACCTATCTAGCTCAAGTTATGTAAATTACAAGATAGAAATAATTGAAAAAGCATTTATCTAGCTATATTTTATTCTCCTAGAAAAACAACAGAAATAGTATATCTCATATTTTTATCAAATACGACACTTCAAGATGAAACTAACAAAATTTGGTTCACCAAAATTGGACACTCCTAGCTTGAGATATGAATTTTTGAAACATGCATTCCAATCTGTGAAATAAATCCAGAAAATCAATTCATATTCGACGACAGCTGGGGCCCACGGTCAACAGGGACCCACCCGTCAGCGAGAATAAAACAAGGGATGGCGCTGACAGGCGAGAACTCACCACAGGCAAGGTCTCTAGCGGTAGCGTCTTCACCACTACACTCATCACGCCCACGCGCATTGACTGGTTGGCTTAGTTGGCTCGGTGGCTCGCCAGAGCAAGCTCGACGGTGGCCATGGCGGACGACAGAGGTCTGGCAGTGGTACACCAGCCATCTCCAGCTAAGGCACACTTAGGCAAGGATGACTACTCTATCCTAGTGACCTAGCGAAGCTACATGGTGCAGGTGAGGGTTTGAGGTGGCGTTAGTGAGCTTGGCCGCGTGTATGGCCATGCGGCGACGCACGGAGCACGGTGGTGCTCACGCTGTTCCGGCTAGACAGTGGTGAAAGCTGGGTCTCTGTTATGCTACTAGCGAGGTCTAGGGTTACTCATCCTAAGGCATGAGAGAAAGGAGGGTGACGGCGAACCAACTTGATGGCGGCGAGCTCGAGTGCTACGGCAGCCATGGTGGACATGGGCGGAGCGGCGACTTGTTCTGGTGCCGTCAGGTGGTGTCGTCACCCCTAGATCTAGCCTAATCATCTAGACTCTAGCATGGTGCTAGACCAGAGGAGATAGAGGTATGTGGTGTGGTGAAACAGCGGGGCCACGGTGAGCCGCAAGCGCGGTGGCGCTCCAATGATAACGGTGGCTATGGCGAGGCAAAATGCCGCTCTACCTATGGTCAGTAGGTGGTGCTGGTGGGGTGAGGAGGTGGAGGTGATGGCAAAGCAGCTATGGCCAAGACGAATCGGCCGACGAGGCTATGTCGGCGGTGAGCAGCTGTGGTGGAGCTACGGTGGTGCTGCGGCGAGCTCGGTGCGGCGCCGCGGAGAGGCAGAACGAGAGGGAGGAGGTGAAAATGGGAGAGTGGAGTGAGCAGCAGGGGCGCGGCGTTTATGTGCCCATGCTGGCCTAGCCGGCCAGGCCAACGCTGGCGTGCTACCGCCACACAGCAGCCATAGCCTATGTTTGGTCATCCACGACGCCGCGTGCGGGCGCGGGTTCAGACGCCGCCATCGTTGACTAATAGTGCAACTTAACGATGCTATACTTCCTAATCCGTTCATCCACTACAAAAACTTCCTTAATGAGAATTAGAGAGCTACATGAGATCTCCAACTTTGTTTTAATAACCATCATCTAATTCTCACTAGTTAACAAACTACATTGCTCCAAAGTGAGGTACTTTGAAACTGCAAACCGTTTCAACACTTAGAAATTTTTGCATGTCTCAAAACAACATTTTGTTGATACTTGTGAGCTATTTTGAACATGCTATGCACTGAATTAGACCTTGACCAAAAAATAAAAGTTGTTACCCTAGTCAAGTACTACAACTCTTATTTAGGTCACATAGCCATGCAAACACTCTAAGCTACTATCCAACTTTAGTCAAACTAGTATCATGAAAATGGCATTTCAAATGAAACCAACACTTAAAATCAAAATTGACCTAGGTCATGGATACAAACATTGTTCCATTAATCATCCTAGATGCGTCTAGGGTGTTTTCATGACCTCCCAACCATCTCATACATTGGTCATACATGATTGCAAGCATAAACACATATATAAATCAACATTTCATGTGACAATGTATAAGAATGAGGTGAAATTTCATATGCTCATGTTCATGAATGCTTGGATGATGCTTGTGCTCATGAAATGAAGGTGTCAAATGCAATTCTTAACACTGGGGTGTTACAACCCCTCCCCCTTGTAGAAATCTCATCCTGAGATTTGCAAGACCTACCATTCTTCGTAAAAGGCGGGATAAACTTCACGTAAGTAATCCTCCTGTTCCCACATGGCATCTTGTTCACTGTGGTTGTTCCATACCACCTTGTAGAACTTAATGACCTTGCCCCATGTTACTCTTTCTATCTCTTCTAACACTCGGATTGGTTTCTCTTCATAAGTCAAATCCGATTGGAGCTTAATGTTGGTGGGTGCAATGGCTTCCTTAGGTATGCGAAGACATCTTTTCAACTGAGAAACATGGAAGACATTGAATATCGCACTCATTTCTAGAGGAAGTTGTAACTTGTAAGCATCATTTCCTTTCCATTCCATAATCTTGTATGTCCCTACATATCTAGGCATAAGCTTTCTTTTTATTCCAAATCTCCGCACTCCTTTCATGGGTGACACTATTAAGTATACATGGTCTCCCACTTCAAAAGTTAGTGATCTTCTTCTTTTATCAGCATAACTCTTTTGTCTTGATTGAGATGCTTTCATATGTTGTTGGATAATGCGTACCTGCTCTTCAACTTCGGTGACAAAGTCAATGCCAAAGTATCTTCTTTCATTGGGTTCAATCCAATTCAAAGGAGTTCTACATTTCTGACCGTACAAGGCTTCAAAAGGAGCCATCTTGATGCTCGCTTGATAACTATTGTTGTAGGAGAACTCGGCTAAAGGTAGCCATTTCTCCCATGAACCCTTGAAAGATATAACATAGGCTCTCAACATATCTTCTAAGATCTGGTTTACTCACTCGGTCTATCCAGAAGTTTGTGGATGGTATGCTAAACTTTTGATTAGTTTAGTTCCCAAAGCCTAGTGCAAGTGCTCCCAAAACGAGCTATAAACTGTGGTCCCTGATTTGAGATTATGGTCCTTGGCAGTCCATGTAATCTCACTATCTAAGAAACATACATCTCAGCGTATTTCCTAGCTAGATACCTTGTGTTAACTGGTATAAAATGTGTTGACTTGGTAAGGCGATCTACAATGACCCATATGGAATCATGACCATGTTGTGTCAGCGGGAGGCCTATAATAAAGTCCATACTTATTTCCTCCCATTTCCAGCCTGGAATAGGCAATGGCTGAAGAAATCTTGCAGATTTCAAATGAATAGCCTTTACTCTACTACAATTATCGCACCTAGCGACATA